GGCCGGGATGTATGATACCAAGAATGGCACATTCATTTCGTTGAACTCTCTAACACGTTTGAAAATTGCAAAAAGAACAAAAAATACATAAAACCAAGTCTGTTGTAGTACCAATAGATTTATAATTCTACACACTGCCACTGCAACATTCTTTTCATATTAACTATACAAAAGATTTCCCTTTCAGGAATCGCACCTTGCCCAAATGTTCGGTGTTTGTCCCTGAAAGAAAACGAACTCAAGAGAAATTGTCACCGTGTAAGGTCTTCTAACATCATGAAATAATTTGTCATATGAGGCCCGCTTTGCACATTTGAAATTGGAGTGGACTGTGTGATTAATGGTTCGGCTGATGTAGTGTGAAGCCCTGTGATAACTCGCTGTTCGCTCGGGTTGCGGGTTACCAGGACTGTTCTGTCCAATTAGAAGTAAGATGTTGCACAACAACACGTCTATCTATTAACATGTTAGCATTGACACGAATTACAGGTATTTTAAAAAGGCGTCAAATGCCGTTTACAGATCGAAAATCGGACCATTGGTTCAGACGTTATCGGCAAAGTAAATTTTACATATTTTGGTGCTGCCATGTGGTGGCTACAAATTGTACTAGTGTTGGGACCTTTAGCCTTAATGCTCAACGCTGAACGCTTCATTGAAATAATTTTACTCGAGACCTTTTGTCTTCTTACGGAGGCGAAGAGTCGGCGATACACGCGTGCATCTCATGGTGTCGGAGATAACTAAATTTCATTAACGGCGGCCGCACCGTCAATTTTTAAAAATTTTGTTGCGTCAATCGACGCAACGCGTCTCCTAACTCCGTAAGGAGCGTGGAGTGCACTGAAGAAATCCTCCGTTAACAAACGCCCTCTAGGAGCCGCTGTGTTGTCAAGTCACGTCAGTCATAGTCAAGTCAGCGGCGGCGATGGTGTAACGGTTAGCGTACCGGATTGTTGTGCCCAAGTTCGCGTATTCAAACCCGATCGAAGCCGTGGATTTTTAAGGGCGAAAAAATCCTTCGTAAGCCTTCCTTCGGAGGGGAAGTAAAGCCGGCTGTCCCATGTTAGTAGATTTACTTGCATGTAAAAGATCCTCAAGCCTAAATGACGCTTCTGAGCTAAATTCAAAAAACCGCCTGTTTCTCGCCCAAGGAATACCTACCTTGATGAAAGTTGCTAGTTGATGAAAGGAGCGTAGCGAAATTTGCGTGGTCAGACGGAAGAGCGGGCCTGATGGCCCGAGTCTCGCCACGTAAAATAAGGCAAATTCAATTCAATTCAAAAGTCAAGGAATCGTCGACAGATAGCGTCATCGCGCTCGCGTCGCGCACGCGCCCTTCGTCCTCTATGAGAATTGGGAAGGAATGAGGATAGGGGTAAGGTTCTCAGCGGCCTGGACTAGCTGTGAAGCAGGCAAACTCGTTTTGTCGCAACAAATTTCACATAACGTTCTACGAGGCATTCTACAGGAATCGAAACCGGAACCTCTGTGGTGAAAGGCAAGTGACCGCCACCGAGCCGAGCCACGCTTTTCTGCGCATGGGGCCGCGGAGAGGGGGGGGGGAGAATTGAATTGGCGGATACGCAATACAATGCATGTCTGTGTAATTGTCCTTTTTCATGTGGGCTCGAACACGCTTCCCTTAAATCTTTATGCTGGCATTTAATATTTCTTTCCGTTCGACCCTGACCCTCTGTCCTCCTGCCCGCCCGCCCATCGTCCGTCCGTTCGTCCGTCCCCTGGGGCAAGTCTCATTTTCATTGAACTCTCTGAGTATTAGAAAATTGCACAAGTAAGAATATAGCGAGGAAGTATGTGACGTTGTAGCTCATAGTTTCGTTATCATATATACCCACATAATGTGGATTCTGGCTAAACGAAGTGTAAAGGAAGTAATTTAGTACTATAACATTTGGGAACAAGATTTAACCTCATTTACGATTTCACAGCCCCACAGTGCGATTATTTCTGACGAATAATCGCCACTTTCCGCTGCAGCATTTTAATATTTTCTCTTAATTACGAATTACAGTGAAACCCGATAAACGGCCATCTTGATTAAGCGATCACCTCAACAAATGACGTTTTGGGGGGAACCGATTGATTTTTCAATAAGACCCTTCTTTTCAGCGACCTCGCGCATTTAATCAATTAACCTTCATTAAGAGGTCACCTCAAGTGTTTCTGAACTGTATTATAACAAGAAGCGGAAAAGTGCGATGCGAATAGTATTAATAATTACTGTTGATTTAATATATTCCTAAGACAGGACGCATTGTTACATCACTTCGAAAAAATGACATCCGGAGCTACATATCTCGCAGGGGGATTACTCAGATAACAACAGATGATCTTAATAAATATCTCTCAGTGAAACAACTCGTTCGTGTTGCCCATTTCAACCGTTTCTGTGATTCGCTAACTCGTGTTTCCCTTCTATGCCAATCTATTACGGACTCGCGGAACGCGCCGCATGCGTTATTCCTGTCAAAGGTTATTACTCCTTCGTCAGACAGCCTTGCAGTAAAGTTTGTATAAGATATGAGTTGCATTTCCAAGTCAGGTTTGCTTGTTTGATTCGACGAGGACGAAATGTGCGTTTCTCCACTGAGAAAATGAGTAACAAGTGAAGGGCGTGTTTTTATATTAGCCGAGAGGGGGCAAACGATCGTAAATACCTTGTTTAAATTATATCGTGTCATTTGTTGTAATCAATGACGTTTTGAAGTGAATATAGTATTTCCTTTAATAGAAATTAGCATAATTGGATTTGATTTATTCTTCCAATAACTTTATAATCTTCATTAAGCGGCCACCTCAATAAACGGCCATTTTTTTGACGGAACCACTGTTAACTACGTAAGTCAGGTTTCCCTGCGTAGTAAGCAAGAATGTAAAAATACGTGTTTTTGAAAACATAATTAAATTGAATGAAAATAATTTTTTAAATGTTTATCAAGTAGGTTCTATTTTTACAAATATTGCTTTTTGTAAATGTACACATTTTAGAGCATTTAGTTGACGAACAATTTGTAAACCAATCTTTGACATTTCTTTTCAGCTTCTCGAGAATTAATTTTCTTTTATTTGATTCAGAATCATTTAGTAATAGAGTATTATAGTCACTATGTTGTTTGTTTCCAAATTAGTGTTATTTCAAAAGCCTGCTTCAAATTATATTAATTACTGTTTTGTGTGTTCTTGCAATGAGGTTTGAAATAAAGATACATCATAACAAATATAAGATGGGAGTTTTTTCGCCCCAGGGAGTATGGAGGAACGTCAAGCCACCAGGAGTCTCTGAAAGGAAATGAAGAAGTTGAGGATGAACGTTTGAAAGGCATTGATCCCAAAATGGCGGAGTTGATTAGAAATGAAATAATGGATTCTGGCGCTCCTGTGCATTGGGATGATATTGCTGGCTTACAATTTGCAAAAGCCACCATTCAGGTTTGTGTTTTTATTCAAAGAACAACCATTTATTGAAGTCCCGTTATTGAATTTGACCATATTTCCTTTGAGTTTGAACCCTTTACACTCTTGTATGTGATCATAAGTGACACGTTCCTGACATCCAATCGGTATGGCACCTACAGACTCGCCTTGTAGACTTTAAAATCAGTCGAAAGATACTTTCCTCGGGTGTGAACCAATGGTACATGATCTAGTGACAAATTTGACATCTTTGAATCAATATGACACATGTCTGTATGACATGGTCAAAATCTACAATGAAAAAAATTCTATTATTGGACAAAAAATTAACTTTGAACTTGTCCTTGAAAATGACACGTATTCAATACGTCGGTCAGTTTGAGACGCTGCATCGGTATAGCATAAAACTCCTTTACACTTGAGCTGCATAATGAACAATGTGCAACAAGAATTAGATTTATACTCATTCCCCAAGGGCATAGTTTTTTCGACACATTAAAAAAATTGCGCAGCCCTACGCTAACACCTACAGGCCGCCATACATGGATTTCTCCATTATTAATAACACTAGCTAACGTCTCAAAAGGTTTTAACTTTGAGATTATCGTACGTGTTTTCTTTTTTTTTTTTTGCCAACTCCCTCCCTAGAATTTGCTTTCTTCCTTTTTGATCTGACGCCACCTAAGAATATTCCCTTTTGTGTCAACAGATTCTCTTTCTGTGGCACTCCAGTTCGTGGTGTTTGATTCTTTAACATGAACTTGAATTTCCCACCGTTTAATGTTCTTGTGAACTACGAACTACATAATATCATCGGGTATGGTAACACACCCCAGTGGTTTAATTACAACTTCCCCGCGCAGTAGCGTAACAAAATGAGTGCGGACCCCGTTTATAAAAGTGTGTAGCAAACACCAGTAGAATTAGTACCTTATATAATAAAAATATCCCGTAAAAATAGGTCCTGTTTTAACCGGGCCCGAATGTTACGCCACTGTCTCCACGAAGAAAACTACATATCATGGGGTGAAGTTACCTTACTCCTTGAATTTCGAGATATGGCCTCACAAAGACCGCAGTTACAGAGGCGAGTCATCTGGTCATCGATAGACCAGTAAAATAATAAAAAAAAAATATCTTTTAAATATGTCAATATCACAACAATAGGATAACTAATCAATATGTGATCATATTTAAACAATATTAGTTATGAAAAAGTCGAGAAATAATCATAAAACAACGAGAAGGTCGCAAAGGAATCGCTAATACAAAAGCGCTTTGAATTGACAGCTCGCCACCCACTCTCGGTGCCTCAACCAGCCGCTGCGTTTCGTATCATTCTGCACGGCAAAAAGCGCACATACACTTCATTTTTGGGTTTCGGTTGTCATGGAACGACGCCATAAAAACAAATATTCCAATCGCTGAAGCTTAATCTGCAAATATAAGACAACCCCGTATTTTCCAAGATATTAAGGACAAATGGTCGTCTTGTATTTGGGTAAATACGGTAATAGTTGTGTCTTTTTCGATATTTGTAAGTCATTTAGCTTAGAACAGCAGAAGGGAGCGCTTAAAAGTAGTTTGTTAACTTTTGTTAGAGATATATTTCTTCTCAGATATTCAATTTTTGAGGTGTTTTTGGTGATTCTTCATTAATCGAGTTTTTGAGATTTTCTTATAACTTTATAATAATTTTAAGGATAATAATACTATTTAAGAGCAAGATAACAATTCTTGGATGTATTTTTATTTCTAGGAAATAGTAGTATGGCCAATGTTAAGACCTGAAATTTTTACGGGCTTGAGGCGACCTCCTAAAGGAATACTGCTCTTTGGACCTCCTGGAACTGGGAAAACTCTTATTGGAAAATGTATTGCTTCACAGTCTCTTTCAACGTTTTTCAGTATTAGTGCATCATCATTAACCTCTAAATGGATTGGCGATGGAGAAAAAATGGTACGAGCCTTATTTGCTGTTGCAAGGTCAGTAGACATTAATGATTTTCATATATTTACTGTTATGTGTTAATGCCTATAAATACCTATTTGTAAATAGTACACTGTTGTTAATATTACGCTATTCACAATTTCTAGATGTCATCAACCAGCTGTCATATTTATTGATGAAATTGATTCATTGTTGACGCAGAGAAGTGATACAGAGCATGAAAGTTCCCGTCGTATTAAAACCGAATTTCTTGTTCAATTGGTAAGTATTTCCTGCTTTTTATTATTGAATGTCGTTTATTCTATACCTCAAAAAAAATCCCTCTAGATTGGAATTTTTCACCATCCAATTTTAATGATTTGGTGATAGATGCAATGAATTAAAAAAGAAGGTTCACAAGGTTTTGTTGAGTGGTAAAACATGTTTAGCAATGATATGTACAAACCAATGGAGCAGTAGGTGTATGAAGTGCATGAATTGAACGCAAGAAATTATTTTAATGAGGATAAAATGCATAATGTATTTCATTGTGATATTTTATTATCTATCTATATAATTACCCTTATTAAATTATTTTTATCTTTTTTCTGATTGTAAGTTAGTAGTGAAGTTTTAGTAAATAAAGTTTAAAAAAAAACTATTTAAGTGGGTGATTAAAAATCTTTTGATTTAATAACTGGTTTGAAATATCAGTTTAAAATATCAGATGATTGATTTAAATCAGTTGATATAAATCACAGTGCTAGTCATAACTGTTTTGGATTTATTTGGGTTATTTTCAATTTAGTGATGCTAATAGATCTGGATAACTCAGGAAGATTAGCTTTCAAACTTTTGCCTCCTGATTTCATTCTCTGGTTGAAAAATTTGAAAAATCAATTGACAATTCCTGATGCAGGTGAAGAGGAACGAGTAGGGACCATATAAACATGATAAAACGTATTTCTTACTGATAATAATGCCATATTTTAATTGGTAATTAAGACAATTTGATAGAATAACTTAAACAGTAATTTAGGTGGTGTTAATTTAACAAAAAAAGTTAATTGTCAGTGTTGGGTTGCATAATTTGCAATGAGCAGTGTTTTTTGTTATCTGTGTGTGAATGCAGGTGTGGATCCAGCTGATAATTTGGCGTGGGGGGGGGGGCATCGTAGATATTTGTTAAATAATAAAAATATTTGTTTTTATATTGTATATTATGTAGTATACGCACAATTCATTACAATATTGTTAAAATAATTACATGATTCGAACATAAATATTTCAATAAATTTCAAATAAAGGTAGACGAAAACTCTAGGCCTGGGGGTGGGAGCATGTCCTCCCTAGCCACCCTTGGATCCGCAAATGTGTGAATGTGGCAATATTACGTTTACAGGATGGTGCTACCACTGGAGAGGAAGATAGAATTTTAGTAGTTGGGGCCACAAATAGACCACAAGAACTTGATGAAGCAGCGCGAAGGAGATTAGTGAAAAGGCTATATATCCCTTTACCGGATCATGAGGTAAGATAAGAATAAAATCGGGTAAGATAAGAATAAACCCCAGAAATTATGCCTCGAAAACCTTTTTCATATTTATGAACAAGCTACCTTAGATTCCAAATCACTTAGGAAACTGAAAATATTCTTGTGAGATATGCTAAATTTCGGTCAAATTATGAAGCCAAAAATAAATTTCAAATTCAAAACTTTAGGTATCAATAGTAATGGTGTGGAATTAAGAAGTATTGAAAATATTATTTAAATGTTATAATAATTTCACAATTTCCAAACTGTGAAAAACAGCGAAGGAAGAAGTTTGATTTGTTATAAAAATCTGAGCATCTTTTATTTATTTACTTACATGTTATGAGCAAAATAATTGCAATACTTTCTATCCATGATTTCAAAAAAATGTGAATTTCTTGAACTATCCTTTTTTATGTAATCCTAAAACTAGATGTCCTCCTTTGTGATTCATCTATTTTCTAATCCCTTCCTGGACTGTTAACTGTGTGAGATCTGTGTGCTATCTGTTTTTGTGTGTAATTGAACTTTGCATGTAACTATAGCTCCCTACACTCGGTACCATGCTACAAGCTCCGAGATGAGACAAGAGCTACCATAGTAGTCTTTGCATTGATGGTTAAGTGTAATTTAATTAATTAAATTTGTTATTTGTCTGTTGGATATATTTTTAATTCAATATCTGACTTTTTCCCAACCATACGATTTTCCACGTACTTGAATCAAGCTAATCACCAGTTAATTTGGATAATTGGAATTCCAAAGTGTGTGTATTTTAATATTATGTTCGATAAATTGAGTTCTTTCATCCCCCTATTAAGTCAAGTTTTACTATCCTATTTTTATGTTTTAGACTATAACCTTCATGCTCATGGATGATATGTAGATGCAGCTGGACAGTGTACTTCCTTGTGTTGTAGGCACGATGTCAAATAATTCAACGGTTGATGTTTAAGGAGAATAGTTGTCTAAGCCAGGATCAGATCAATGAAATAGGAAAATTGACAGATGGATATTCAGGTGCTGATGTGAAAAATTTGTGCCAGGAAGCGTCTCTCGGTCCTATTCGTTCCATAAATTTCATGGATATTCAGAACATATCTCCTGAGGAGGTGAGTGGTATAATTTTTCTTCCTTTCTTGTTAAAAATATGTTACCCGTAGTAGTTCACTATGAATTTCAGTTTTATATCTTAAAGTTTACATGTTTCTTGTCTTTTATAGGTACGACCAATAAGTTTTGAAGATTTTCAACATGCCCTTAAACGAGTTAGAGCAAGTGTTTCATCATGTGATCTTGATGTATACCTTAAATGGGATAAGACTTATGGTTCTGGATAAGAAATTGTGTTTTCTATATCACTCTTTCCTGCCTACTGTTGCCCTTCAATCTGAGGTATTTTTGTATTCAGATGATTTAATTTTATTACAATTCATTGTATGTTAATGTCATATTGGTATGTTATGTAGATTATGATTATTGTAAAAATGTAATGGACTAATATTTAATAAATCTCAATTTAACTGTATAGTTATTTGTTTTACATTGCTTTTGTTTTTGTTCAAACTATTCAAGATGATTCATGATGTAAAAAACATGTGTTAACGATGAGGACACAAATAGAGAAATGCATTTTTCACAATTTTAATTTTCTCTTTCTAAAAATTGCTTACATGCATATTTAACTCTTAAATATATAAATCATTCAGCCATTTTTTATTTTCTATTATTAATGTGAAAAATTGTGATTTTCACTTCCCCTTCGAGTCTGATTAACAAGAGAAATTGGAGGCAATTCTATAAAGTTCATACTTTCACACAACACTCCAAATATTGAAAAAAAGCAGAAAATGTAATTCTTAGTTACAACCTTGTTACTAATATGACTGATTTCAACACAGTTTTGTAATATTTCTATACCCGTGTTTCATGAATGAACAGTTGCGTCGTCATTGAAGTTCACATTTTTGAAAGTAAGTCTTGCTCAGCAGTATATCGTTGAGTAGCATGTACTTTCCCATTTGTTTCAATTTGCAAGCTAATAGCTAATCATTAGAGGATTTCAATGCAAATGCATATATTCCCCCGTATTCCATGTCAAATCGCACACTCAAAAAACACCACTATGTTTTAGCGACTTGAAACTTTTTTATGAGGTGTAGGGTGAAAATAGGTGACACATTTGTTTGTTTTTTCATCTTCTGCCCCTTTCAGAAATATTACCAACTATTTTATTGTGCATGCAACAATATTTTTTTGCACAAATACTGTCTCCTTCAGAATAATAAAATCACTTATATGGGTTCGTAGGCTTCCGTGCTCGGAGTCAATGCATTCTTGGCTATCCAGGATGAGCTGCTTCTCGGTCAATTGTACTGACGTTTCGGCCATCTTGCTGTGGCCTTCTTCAGAGCTGTACTGCTGAGCTATCCTTTTTTAGGTATTCCGTCAAAATCTCGAAATCGATTTTTTGGAGCATTACATAATTTTCTCTAAACTATGTATATTACTGCATATATACGAACATATATGAGAAAGTAAAACAGTAGTAGGCACAAAGAACACATTCTCATGTACATGATGCCCATCATTGTCTCCAACTCTTGAAGAGACATGGTCCAGTTGCTTTTCAGTGCTTTTCAAGCTTCTGATTTGGGGTCTCTCATAATTAGTGAAATCATTGATTCATCAAATAGTAAACAGAACAAACTTAACACAGATGCATTTATTTGGTGAATTGTCCATGTAGCGAGTCCACCTTGTTCATTCAAGACATTCACCGCAGCTCGTCCGCCAGCCAATGAGGAGTAGGCACTGATGATATTCCACCATGTTCAATCTCGGGGAAACGATTTTCACTGTTAGGGTATTTGAATGCTCCTCTTGTGATGATAAAGGCAAAGATCGGTCTTCATCTACACTCGCATATTCTTTTCCTGACTGCTTAAGGCAGATTTCTCTCTGTTATTGAATTTCTGAAAACTGCATCAAACTTGCCATTTTTTACTCCACTGGCATGCATCTTGTCAATTTCAAATAATTTTATTCAATTAAAAAATGGCCGTGACTTGAACTGAGGTTCCAGAGAAGACATAATACCCTTGATGTCCTCTAATTATGATTATAATTATTCTGCTTATGAGTGTTTGCCATTGTCCTCAATAATCGTTTTTTGTTAAGAAAGTGGATACTTTCTTGGGAGTTGACCTGATTCCATATTTTAGATGTGTTAGAAAATTTGACAAATGAGCATAACATGACTTTGTGAGGTTGTTATTGAAGTCTGTAACTTAAGAGTTCTATTTTAGGTCATTTGGAATAATCGGACCATGGAATGTTGGATTTTGGACTATTGTTTCAAAGTTATTTTTAATGATTGTGCTGATGGTTCTTCTGTAGAGTGGATTTCTGAATTTTATTTTCAGTTTTTGGTATAGATTATTGATATACGGAGAACTGATGGGGATTTAGAAATGGTCAAATTATTATAAACAAAATGTAATACATGCCATTAGTGTGTTAGTGTTGTTTACTAGTGGTGTACTTTGAACACATTACCATTACATTATCTCAAATCTAATGTAAAAGTAAATAAAAAAGATTGCAAGAATATTAATTTTTCCTCTCCTCTTTTTCATTTTCATCACAGTTCTCAGAATCCCCTCCCTCCAAAAGTCCAAACTTATATTTCGAGTTCTTCCTAAGACACCCAAATAAAAACCAAAACAAAACATAACATACAACAATGTATATTTAGTGTTTCTATTATAAGGAATAGGAAGATGATTTATTAGCAAGAGAGTTTTTATTCAGATAAATAATATGGAAATGTAATAAGTATTTTTATTTAAATAATTTGTTTAAAATGCTAACAATCAATTGTTCTCTGAATATTTTTTTAAAATTTTACAACTTTTTTTAATTTTATAAATATTTTTTAAAATTAAAAATTTTTTTTGTAACATATAATTTTTAAAGTGTATTTAAATTCATTTTTATGTGCCACAGGCACTATACGTTTTCATTGTAATAAACATTTACTTAAACACAATCTACACATAAATAAGACTATTTTTCCTCTACATTTTTAATTTAAAAAGAACTCCATTAGGGCATTATTTTGTAGCCAGAGAGATGAAAATCATATCTAATAAATTTTATAATAAGTAATATAACAAGATAAAATTTTTAACATTTAACATTTCTTAACACAAATTTAATAACATGTCAATAGATCTGTTTGGTAAATATTTTTTTGAAAAAATTAATCAAAATCCTAAACAAATGAAATAAATTATATGAATGTATAACAATTGAATAAAAAGGTATGAACAAATAAAACATTTAAATTAAAACTCTCTAGAGTAAATGAATATTGTTCCAAATATATTTTCTTGTTGCATAGAAACAACCTTGTCTTTTTCCATATCTGTATAAAAAGAAAAACATATTAATTATATATTATGTAAGCAGATACTAGAGAGTAATTTAAAAAAATATACCAAAATAGATTGATTTATTCTGCAAATGTAGGAGAAAGATTTATATTTTGTTAGCCATAGCCAGTGGTGGTTGGTGGGGATGGGCTGCGGGGCTGCAGCCCCCCGCCCCCAAGTCCTTGTCAGAAACATTTAATTTCTATTTGATATTAAAATAATATATGAGTAATAGTATTTCATTCAATTACATGGCCATTATAGCCCACTGCTAGTGTGTGTATAACTTGCGAAAAGCTTCCGCCGTTTCTGCTGCGATTTCATTTCTTTCCCTGGGACTGCCAATCCCTGCTTCTTGAAGAGAAGTATGAGCATAGTGGATTTCATTTCCTTTGCAGTTTGTATGTCTCAATATTGGGACTCAGGGGCTGCAGGAAAGGACTTCCCCCGTTATGCGCGACGTTTCCATGATTTTTAAACATCTGGTATGATGTAGTTGAGGTGCTGAATGTTGTATTTTTCTGTTTTTTACTTTCTCGCTACGGAGTAGAGAGAAAGTGTCATGTGCGAAATAACGGCGAATTTTCGTCGGAGAAACTTATTACAAGGCCCTGGTAATGAAAATGTGGATAAATCTAGTTGCTAAATTTAGAAATAAAAATTCTCTAACAGCTGGTGTAGCAAGAATCCATCTTTTGTGAGTCCTTGAAACCGAAAAATCGAATGACGGCAAAACGTATCTGTCAATCTGTGAACAACGCTAGCGGTTAATCCGATTAGCCAATTTTCTTCAAAGTTGATTTTCCCAATGGATCTGGCTGACGTCGAGGCCTCCTTGAATTTGAAACCGATATTTTAATTACTTCACATGAAGCCCCTGGGACATTATCAAAATTCTCAGAACAATGTCTCCAACGTCTTTTATTAAATTTCGTTATTGGATAGTTTACATGATTTTTAAGGCTCTGGCGGACGTATGATATAGTTGAGGTGTTGTCTATAGTATTTTTCTGTTATTTTACTTTCCCGCTGCGGAGTAGAGAGAAAGGTATGTAATGCTTCGCAAAATAACAGCAAATTTTCGAAAGAAAAAAAAAATCCTCTTAACACGTGTTGTAGCCAGAATCCTTGTTTTATGGGACCTTCAAACCGAAAAATCCAATGATGGCAAATCGTAAATCGTATCTGTCCGACTGTGAACACCGCTAGCTAAACCGTTCAGCCGATTTCCTCCAAAAATGATATTCCCCAATCAATGTGGCTGGTGTCGCGGTCCCTTGAATTTGAAATAGACATGGTAATTTTTAGGGTACTTCGCATGACGCCTTTGGGGCATTTTAAATATTAAAAAAACTTCCATGGTTTTTGATAAAATTTCATTAACGGATAGTGTGGAGAGCGTTTAAGAGAATGGTGCAGGTCTCATTTTCGTTAAAAAGCCTGATTTTTCGAAAATGCAAAAGTTCAAAATTTTTTCGGAGTCTTCCTAAAACTAAAATATTGATAGAGATTTTTCCTAATCGAAATATGTTATTTAAAGATAGATTTCGAAATAAGGTCATGTACAATTTTTCGAAAATTTGAGTACTTTTCGCGAAATTGTGCGTAAAAGTATGGGCGAGAAAGTACGTACTGTTTTGGCACCACTAGTTCGTGTTTAGTATGGATAAGAGTAGTAAGTCTGTTCAGTATTTAAAAACTTAAATTTAGAAGTTTAACTCATCAAGAAGTGCGATATAAATGCTCGCGGTAGACCTAGACAGGTGCTGAACATATCTCAAATCATTTCCTATTTTGGCATGCAGCCCCCTTAGGTACCAGCCGCCACTGGCCCTAGCACGAAGTAATGTGGTTGTAACTAGACAAAATAAATCCATTTCCCTAGCAAATCACCTGTGCAAAGATTAAGAATAAAAGTATTAGGAGTTTTTGAAAGAAATTTGTAAAGGTGATAGCATTTTCCAAATGTACCGTTTTTGTGGAAATGAGGGAATGTCTTAAGAACCAAACAACGTAGGAGATCATTTAGGGCAAGGATGATTGATGGTCTGGGTTTATTCCTCCACACTCCTTGCCACCATCCCCTCTGTACCTCTTTAAACTACCAAGCTCACCCAGCCTTTTGTAGATGAATTTGCGGTTTCCAGATTCCAGGTAAGAAATAGCACAACTTGCTTTCCATGTTATTTCTTAACTCTGATTTTTTTCTTAAATTTTATCCATCTTAAATTTAGAATCATAAGAAATTAGTGCATGTGCTATTTCACACATTCATTCTCCTCCTTTTCCCTTTATTTGGTTACAATTATTTCATTTTATCTTTCCCTTTCATTTTAAATTAATTTTAATGAACTTGTTATTTATATAATCGTTCAAAATGAATTGTAAATGTATCCATGCAATGTAATTTTTTAAATTATTTTTTTGTGATTTTATTCTCTAGTTTTATATTTAATGTTCTTTTAATAATAGATCTGAAGATAATTGTAAAGCCAGTAAAAGCTTCTAAAATAGTGGAAATCTAAAAAAAATATGGTAAAGACATTGCCTTTTTTAATATAAAGGGTAAAGTATTTTTATTGATGTTTTGTTTCTTGATAGGATTGGCAAAATACTTTCATTATTTCATTAATAACTTTGAATCAAACATTATTGTATGTAATAAAAATATCGATATTCGTTTTTCCAGCTCTTACATTTACATTTTCTGTAGTTAAGTTAGTACCCAGTTATTTTCAAGTTGATGAGTCTACACTATATTGCATTTTTCAAGTATCCTCACTGCATTAAAATCAACATAGAGAAAGTATTATACTCACGTAACAGCGCATTGAAAGAGATTGCTGCTTTCATTCTGGACGTTGTTTGGGGAGGACATATCTTATCAAACGTCGTTTTACCGTTTCCTGCAGCCCACAATTCTTGTAGTGCTTCCAAAATGCCATCTTTAATTCTCATCCAATTTGTTCTAAGCAAAACAAAAAAGGGAGAAAAAGAAAGGATTAAAGATCAGCTAAATGACAAGACACAGACATACAAATGGAGAAACAGTGAATCCTGAAGAAGTTCTCGGAACCAGTTGCCAAGAAGGAGAGGAAGAAAAATGGAAAAGGCCAGCTGCTGAGAGGTTCACTGTTAATTCTCAGACAGACCGTGATGATTTTGGCCGAGAAGTAATCGTAATTTACCTGTTACTATTGGCACAAAATCTTGCGTTACGTAAATGATATTTTACATACTTCACCCATATTATTTTTTTGTATGCTACCGTAATTTGATATGAAAATGATCGAATTTGGAGTCAATTGTTGAAAAGCTCTTAATAGATTCTCAAACGAATAAAAATTGTAAATTAAAATATCGCTTCCGAGGTGTAACTTTACTGGAAATGATGACAACAGTGCCCAGGAGAACGTCAATATCGCATTGTTATCAGAACAATTCATTTTTCATTTTTTTTCATTCATTTCATATTTCACGGGCACAAAACTACCTGCATCACGAAATATACTCAGGGTTTAGTTATCTGCGTTCGTCCAGCAGGGTTTAGTTATCTGTGTCTATATCTGTGTTCGAACGGCACTCAAGGAGTGCGGTGTGGTTTAGTTTTTAGTTTTTCGGTAATAGCTTTTTAATATTTATTATTTTGTGACTGAACAGTTCGCAGAAATTAATTCTGGGGTGAATAGAATAACTATTATTGTTACCAAACCAGGAACTACCATCTAGATTCCCGGGCTAAACATTACATAAAATTTACTCCAGAAGAATGGAAACGAGCAATCAAGTACATCAAGAATGGTAGCAATATCGGATAAGCTTCCTAAGACCATCTGATTCCCATCTCAATTCTACGGTGCCACGATAAAACCCCCAAATAAGACCACTATGAGGGCAAACTGCCCTCCCGAAGGATGAGGAAGAAATTATAATTTCCCGGAGAGGTCTCTATTCAGAGGGGCAACCCGTTTGATAAACTCACTCTAAGGTTGTTTATTAAGGGATATCTGGCCAAGAGATGCGAATGTGTTTAATGCTCTCTTAATTAAAAAAAATGGTTCGTCTTTTTCGCAAAACCTCTCTCAGCCCTTCTTGGGCATCTGTAGTAACCCTACGTTTAGTTTTTGTTTTGTCACGTTGGAGTCAGTGACAGTGCCTTTTATTCTTTCGGCTTGGCGCCATTAGTAACCGGGATTCCCAGACTGGCACCCGTTCAGAAATCCATGGTGTCTCGAGTCGCGTAACTTCCGTGACATCACGGAGCGTAGTTAAGCAATTCGGATACCAACACTGGCTTTAGAAATAATACACCAGGACATAAATTTACAACGATCTTTTTGAAGCGTCTTAGAGACAAATTGAGTTTAAGAATGGGCCGAAACTTTAAAAGGACAAGAGCAAACATTTCTCAAAATGTTATTCGTAAATACTTTAACAACTAGAAAAAAAATCCGATTGAGTGACAGCCTCAGCATTTGATGAGAACAATTTAGCTGTCGATCTAGGAAAAAGTAAGATTCTCACGAATATGGTTGCAAATATCCTGATCGGGTAATGAACTCGTGGAAATCTGCGACATTCATCATGTTTTATGTAGATGCTAATGGGACAATGTAACCAACCTAGGAAGTGTAATGTCAAAACATTGCACAACTTCTAGATTGAACGTTCTCCGAAGGGAATACATTTTAATAGAACATTGTCTGGGTGGTTCGATAGTGTGTGCTTTGATGATTGGTTCTCCTGAGTGTTTACACCATATTGTCGTAAATTCAAAGGCCATAAAATTCTCATAGGTGATAATTAATCAATCCACCTTTCTGTGACCTCTGATCATCTGTGTCAAGAAAACAAAATGAAAATTGTACTTTTGCCCTCGAATTCCATACACTTTACACAGCCACTAGACGTTGCATTATTTCGACCCTTTATGCAGGAGAGGAGAATCATGACTGAATGGAAGATGTCTTAGGAAAAGCGAATGCTTGGTGCCGAAGGATACATTTCCGACTTCCGACCCAATTGTGCATACCACCAGCACACTTTTTTAGCCGAATTTATTTTTAAGTGCCCGATAATGGGAAAGATAAAATGTGTTTGGATTTGTTAGCATCATGGACTATCGGGAGTCCGCCTGTAGCAGGTAGCCTGAGAATACTGGGAGTTGGGTGGAGGCAGCGTGCTCCTGTTAGGGTTTTGTTCGGCAGAATACCGACCCTTTCATCTGATTTCGTAAGTTAGTTTTATTTGGTGGAAATATTTTGTAAAAAATCTATTACTTTCCCGGGAGTACAATTGTATCATTCGTTATCAACGTAAAAGTTGTCTTAAACAAAGATTATAATTCCAATCGGTCGTACTCTACATGTCATAGTTTTCCGAGTTCAAGAAATATTTTGAAGAGGTAAAACAACGTATGTGATAGAAGATAAAGTTTACGGTCTGGTAGGCCATGGTCCAGTTGGCATTGTTTCGTCCACGTCTGCGGTGGACATCCTCAGTGGCGGCAGGGTCGCGGGTGCAGTGTGCGGGGCGGCGGCTGGCTGGCGACTAGTCTGGCGAAATTCGTCCAAACAAATTGTGCTGGTGATACTGTGGGTCAGATGTCGGAAATTTATCCTCGCGACTAGTCGCCAGCCAACCGCCGACCCGCATAGTGCGCCCGCCATCCTGCCGCCACTGAGGATGCCCACCGCAGACGTGGACGAAACGTTTGGCCCAACAATGCCAACTGAACCACGGCCTACCAGCCCGGAAAATTTATCTTCTATCACGTACGTTATTTTACCTCTTGCACGGGTGCTAGTCTCGCCGTTTTTAAACGTTTAGCTAAGTTTACTCACGGACAGTCCCAGACTGTTGTACGAAATGCAGAGTTTAGAGCGCGGTATTTCATTCAAAGTTGTGTTCCAGTATAATTTTCACATTTTAAAATAATTCGAGGTTCAAAACGGTGCACTGGTTCGAAATACAAATGAACAAAATTAGTACCTTTCAATAACCTGTTGCCTATCTGGAGATCTATCTTCGGTCTGCATTTGTTCTGGCCACGGCTCAATTGCAGCCGGTTCTTCAACAATCGCAAACTGTTCCAGTGGCTCCCCCTTCTCTGAGATTTCGGCGACTAACGGCAGCAGGGTGGCAGGCGTGGTAGTGACGGTGGCGGCCGCGGCTGTGGCGATGGCCATAGCATCGGTGGGTACTGTGGTAGTGGAGATGGCAGCAGCCGCGTCAGCAGCGCCAGTGACATCGAAGGGTGCTTGGACGACGGGCGGTGGGGGCATCTCGTGGTCTTCTACAAGAGGAATTTGTTCGTGCGAAACCCCTTCTTCGATTGCTTCTGGCAGGATGGCCTAGAAGGACATGGATTCAGTGTTTTATACATAAATTTGTAACAGGGATGTGATTTTTGATATTTTTTTAGGACTTAATGATCTTCGACCAGAACATATCAAATGGATAAGGTTATTTTTATGGAAGTTTATTACATTAACGTACGTTAATTATGATAATATAAACTATCACATAATCACAATTAATGTATTTGTGTTTATGTGAGATAAAAGAACTCTCCTTGAAGTAACATTAACTATTTTCAAATGCATAGAGAAATTGAAAGAAAATACGCCTGAAGTCATGTGAAAGGTATTTCTGATATCGTAGATTCTCAGGAACTCTGGAAAAATTGAAAAATAATTAAACACTTTCATATTTGACTAAAAAATGCAAATATTCGATTGTGTCACTCCGCCTATTCTTATTTTGCGGGTACTGACTGAATTCTCATACTCGGCGCGTCACTGCTGACATCATACGCTGCGTTATGAAACAGTAAATTTTGGGACATTTTGTTAAGGACTATTGTATCAAATATAGTATACTATTCTATGTCATCGCGTCGTGAAGACGTGGTTTTGTTAAATGTTTAATTACAGTATCATACTAGAGTTAATTTATTGCATTTGTTTTTATTTGTTCTTGAGCAGTGGAAGTGGTACTTTCTGGAAAACTATTTTGTGTAGTTTTGTTGAGCAGGCTTTTGCTACTCCAGGCCAATAGTTAATAATAATTCTTAGAATCTTTAGATCCCCAAATTCAATGCTTCAAAACATTGCTCTCGACAAATTGTGTACTTAGGCCTCAAAATACTGATTTTGGCGGCAGCTTAAAAAAATATTTGCACGCGTAAAAAATCTGAATTTTTTGAACACATAAACACTAAAAATCAAATCATTAAAAATATCTCTTTGAGAACAGTAGCCGTTACCTTGATTGTCAGTATCCATTATGTCATAAGACGCAAAGCACTGCATAGCTGCTCAGGAATGTTTCCTATTATGGTAAAATATGAAGGGGGATACTTTTAAGGTGAAAATATCACTAATTAATTGCAATGCTTATTTATTCACAAAGGGCATGAATAAGGGTTTTAATGGTCAAGTGGCGACAAAAAGCGCGAGGGGATTTCGCCACCTGAGATCAATAGAACCAGTTGACACCCGTGGTACATACAATTTTATTACCCAATTTTAATGATCCAGATGTACTAATTAACTAGATGTTATTATGACTGTTTGTCTTTTCGTTTGCCCCCCCCTCCATAATTCCCTCCACAACGGAATGTGTAGCATCCTTCAACTGGTTTCATATTTCCCTCATAACCACTACCTTCCCAGTCTAGTCAGGTATGCAGCGTATCAAGTTCCATATCGAAGGCAATATCAGGCAATGTCATATCAGTAATAATAAAATCTGTTTAAAGGGTATAACAGGGATTAAAATTGTACTTTCGTGTCTTCATCTATATTTGAGAATACTTAGTTGATACTGAGTATTCTACTACTTACACTGATGCTCTCAGCAAGTTCTGAAAAAGAAATAAACTATATTAGTAAGCATTTATTAACTGTAGGATTGTACTAGTATTACATCAATAGCTTTTATTTGGACATAGATGTCAAACAAATAAGTATTATTTTCAAAGAAATATAATCAATAGGACTGATTTATTAAATATTTGTGCTTTATTTCTAGACCATATTAAGCCAACACATACTAGATCATTGTTTTGTCTATAGTCCTCTGATACTAATTAGATATAGCCATATTTTTTTATGAAAATATAAATTCTGTTTTTTGAAGAGGCACAAATACAAGAGTTACAGCCTGCCCTCTTCGCTGAGAGAAGCAAAATGAATAAAAATCCAACTAAACGTTCAAAAGTCATAGGTGCTGGATCCAGACTTTGTTGAATAAAATGCACGTCTTGTTGTGACCAGATCCTAAGTTGAGCAACGATCCACCAAGCCTAAAATAATTAAATTTGGTTGTCTTTTCTGGGAGTTTGCCGTCAAACATTCTTACTTTCATTTTTATCTCTGTAGATACTGTATCTACAACTTCAATGTTTCAGTTACAGAAAGATCATAAGAGTATATTTTATTATCAACTCCTCAACATCGGAAGAAATATGCTCTGCCTGGGTAATGCAAACCTCCAGATTAATAAGGGGACGGATGACGGGTTGACCTTGTGGAGAATAGGCCCACCTTAAATTGCTCCTTATTCCATCTACTATCTATTGAGAATTGGCTGATATCTGGCGCACGATTACAATACTTTCTCTTCTTACATTCATAAGGGCGAGAAAGTGAAACGAAAGTATAGTTTTCGAGTAAATTTTGGTTGAAGTAAAGCAGTTTAAAAATGAAATATTTTCCCAAAAATGGCTTCAATTTTTTTATTTTAGAATAACACAAAATACGCTTATAAAATGATACAGCACACATTTGAATTGAACTCTGTATTTTTGAAAATTACAAAAATAATTAACATTGCAAAACTCTAATATTGATAGTAAAGTTGTTACTAAATGAAATATGCCCTTCAAAATTAATCTTTAAATAAGATGTACATTTTTTTTGAAAATATGAGTATTTTTGCATTAGCAACGAAATTCCAAATTCGAATTTCTGCAAGTTTTCATGGAAATAGCGCAATGTTTGTATGTGTTAGTCGCATTCTCCTTTAAAATATTCGTGATTACTAATATGATATTCTTTTAAGAACAAATTATACACTGATAGCAAGTTTTATCATTTTCCAACTCTCTGTGTAGTTTATTTTATTGGTTAGCCAACGTACAACATGAAATTGATATTTCAGATTCAATAAATGTTTTAGTTAAATTCTCGATTTTCGGGTACTTCAGCATGTTGAATAGTGTGGCCTTGGGTATTTTTCATTGTAACTAGATGAACCCTTGCAATTACAAATCACAAAATAAAGAACTGTAGAAAAATTGCAACAGAAAAGAACAACAAATTCACCAAAAGGCAAACGTGCTGCAAAAAAATTCATAAGTCTGCTTGCAAAGAAGCGGTGATTCTATTAATTTAAAAATTTTTTAAAACTTAGTGTTTATGCTATAAAATGGGTTAATAAAGCAAATTATAACACTTCTAGGGCTTCTAATATTTATGTACCAATTTGAACTTCATTTATGAGAGGAATTTATAGTTACCTGGAATAGTTGCGATTTCCCCTTCAGCTCTGAAAGAGAAAACCAAATGTGTAAGTAGAGAGCAGAAATTCATTAAAATATGCAAAATAAAATTTATGTTTATAAACGAAGAATTTTACAGAATATATTGATAATGAAGACAAAATTATCAAATCTCGTTAAAATGAGAAGTACAGTTCAAGAATGTGTGTGGTTCACATACTGACTGGGCACAAAAAATTTACACACCTCATGTTCAGGCATTATTGAGATACCTGAGACAAATGTTTAGACAATGATATATTTTACTAGAACATAATGTTTTAAAACTATTGATAAAATTGCAATTGTAAAACAAAAACAGAAACATATGAGTTAGTGACTGTGTCTCCTTGTGGTCTGGAGGACTTGCTTGTTATCCTCCTCTGGAATATTTCTTTGTGTGACCCCTCATCCTTGACATATGTGGCAAGGTAAGCCCTACAAGTAGCTACGCTTACACTAGCTAGCCACGCTATTCTTAGGTTCATTGGGGTAATCAGGCTCCTCCAAGTCAAGGTTTTGTACTCTCTCAATTATTGTTAAAATTATTTTTTTTATAGATGTGTTACTTTAATTGTGCTCTGTCGGTTTGAACATTCATAGGACTAAACCCGAAGACATTAAAAATTCGTTGGCTTTTTCGGAAACATGCCTAGCACAGAAAAAGTTATGCAATGCTGAAAAAAAAAATCATTGTCGGTATTTTGACGACGATTCGTGTTTTAGGTGAGCCAGAAACAGGAAAAATGTTTTTTTGACTTTATAATTTACGTAGCATAGGAAACGTTCTATAATACTTGAAAAAATTGATGTCGATATTTTAAAAAAATATTCGTTTTGAAGGCCCTTGATGCCGAAAATGTGTTTTCTTCAAATGTCTATCACTAGCAGCTAAGCTGTGTTCAGAATTTTCTCCAAAATTAATAATATGGATCGATCTGACCCATCTCAATCTCCCAACACATTGTTACGAATCTTTAAATTCTGGGTGGTCTCTGGGAGATTTTCAAAAAAATTCTCAAAAAAAGACTCCAAGTTTTATTCTGTGTATTTTTTGATCCAATTGAGAAATGTACTCTAAAAATGGCGCAGGACCGGCTATCTATCTTTTGATACAATGTCTCCAATTTTTTTCTTAAAATCGTACGCTTATAAAGTGAAAAATTCGCTCAGTAATAACAAATCGCAGAAGTCTCTTTTGTTAAAACCCCCTAGAATTTCGAAAATTGCAAAGGTTAAAACGTTTTTCTAAACTGACCTTCATTTTCAAAATTAAAGCTGCATATTTTTTTCTTAATGCAATCTATTACTCTTGTTTGGATATTTAAATAATTTTTCCTTTCAAATTATTTTTAGTTTTGCGTAGTTTTTTGAAGAAGAGTTTTTCAAGAGTTGGATGCAGATTATTAGGATTGAAGTTGCAATAGTATAACAATTGTATGACCTTTAAGAAATAACACGAGAAAATATCACTATTTTTTAATGCCAGCCCCGCCCCCTCGAAGCTCCTACGCGGTCCCCTGACCTGGCAGTGCCGGCCGTTCCCATGGGATATTTTTCTTTATTCTCTACATAAAAATTCCCCATTGTTAAATATGTTCCAATTACATGTCAACACAGAACCACCCCAGTGTTCGCTTTGAAGTCACAAGTATGAAGACAGAAACTGTGCAGACTGCATCACTTAGTACAGATGACATCACTTCAAATCCAAAATAGTGTTTCGATAATTAACAGATGACTTACTTCACTGCTTCTTGTATTTGCGCAGGTGACAAGTGAATTGTGCGTGACAAAAGACTGGCAGCTCCGGATGGAGGATGGAGAGCCACCTGAAACATGCGCAACGTGATTTGACATTTTTAGAAATAATTTTAAAAAATTAAGGAAACACCAAGCGTTAAAATTAAGGAAACAGTCTTATAGGATTTGACTTTTTATCATTCTTTGTAAGAGTGCAACATTAAAGTGTCAAAAACACGGCTTTCTTAAAAAAAATATACATCGTGATGAGAAGTAGGCGACGAAGAAACGTGTTCTTCAAAAATAAGCTCTAGAATACAATCGACTCCAGGTATAGCGAACCATTGGAGACCAACATTTTTATTTCACTCGGAAGTTCACTATCTGGTAATGCGAAAGAAAACTAATTTCTTTGCAATTATTGATTTGAATTTGTCGAAGGTTCGTTATATCCAAATAGAGCGAATTCAAAATTTCTATATTTCAATAATAGTTTTTATTACTATTTGTTGGGTACAGTTTTTACTAATACTGTTTGCAGCTTCTTATCGAAAGTCTGTACATTCTCCAAACTTTATTCATTATCCCCAACCGGAAAATATTACGTAGTCTGGATTCTCTTAAATGACGTTTGCACTACTACGACACTTTTCATTTGCATTTTCTGACATCAAAATCGGATTTCTCTGTTCTGGAAGAACCTGTTACCGCATTTACAAGTCCTAGCCAGTTGGAATCTCGCCGGTATTCATTTCGCAGTCCGCAATGATTAAGAATTGATAGTCCGACAGAATTGTCACAGATAAGCTGAAACTATTTTCTCAGTGGTGTGTTCCCACAGTCCCTTACACTCGCTGTAAATGCTACAAAAATAAGTGACGAGAGCTGCAAACTTTTAACGTTATTGACATTCTGTTATTGGTCTTGACGCGAATTATTTTGATAATAAATTGTTTTCTATGTTTACTATTGCCTATGTGGAGTTATTTAAGCCGAAATGTCTAGTGTTAATTGGCAATATATGGGCATGGATGCTACCCGAAAGTTCTCTAATTCAAGTTCACTATATCCGGAGTGGACTGTACGTTTCGTCAAATAAACAGCGTGAAAAGTATGTGTGTGAGAGAGGAATTAAGGAGAGAGATATACAGAGAGAGAGAGAGGGGGGGAGAAGAGAGAGATAGAGGGAAGGAGAGAGGGGGAGAAAGATAGAGGAGAGGAGAGAGGGGGAGAAAGAGAGAGGGGAGAGAGAAGGAGAGATAGTGTGTACTCAGCATAAAAGAAAGACGAGATTAGGAAGGTGTGGAGGAGCTAGAAGGTGCGGGAATCCAGGAAATGTTGAAATATAAAACGTAAGTTTAAAATGTATATCGGCAAAACTCGAAATCAATTGAAACTATTTTTTCTATTGTGAAAATTAATATTTACTATCATAACTAGAATTATCCAAGTAGGCTGGGGAAAAGTGAATTTAACTCGCATTATTTATTGATCAGTTGCTAAAACCACTTTGGACTGAAATGTATCAGTTTAAGTGTTTTAACAAGTATTTCCGCCAATTCTCCGAAATACAGGTAAAAGATAATATTTAAAGAGGCAAGCCAGGATGCAGATGTCACTCTGCTGAAGAAGACAAAGAAGATAAATAATTCTGGTTCCAATGGAGATACCATTATAGTTTCGAAGAAGGCCGATGATTGTTTGCCCACACGAAGTCGAGAAAATTAAATATCCGGGTCCAACTATTCTTTAATTAGAGAAGACAATGACACTATTCAAATCCCGCATGTGGACAGAGCAAAGGCAGATTTTTCAAGTGTATTTGGAGCCTTTTCAACAAGTGAAGATCATAAGATTGGAATCAAGGACGGGAAACAAAAAAATCTCGTGTCCTTATACCTGTCTTCTGCTTGTCAGCCAGGGAGGACATAATTTAATTACGAACATCCTTGTCCGGTTGGAATTTTACGTTTCTTAAAGAACATTTTCAGCTTGAGAATGGGCTAAATAGAAATAGATCCTCATGATCTCCTAGTACAGATGGTAATACAGTTACAAAATACCTCTTAATGGCGAATATTTCATTTGACTTTGCAGGGAGACGGACTGCAGTTACATCACTCCAATTTAATATAAACAATCACTTAACAAATAATTTCAGTCTGAAGTAGTTTTCACAAGCAAATTGGAGTTAATTTTAGAGACCAAGTATGTATTAATTTTCATTGAAAGTCGTCCTTAAAACAAGTTTTCATTGATAATACTTGATTTAACAGATTTCAATTTTGACGGTAACTGTTCTTTGTTTGTGCTCCTTCTGTGAAAATGAATGTTATTTGTTTATACAAACAACGTTTTATTTTATTTGTTTCTTGTTTATTTGACAATGTGCAATAGAAAATGCCATGCCATTCACAATTACTAAAAAAAAGAGTAATATTCTTGTAACAAACTCGATCAGGTTTCTCGATCGAATAACAAACTCGATCAGGTTTTGTTCAGTTTCCCT